AAACAGAATCTGTTATTTTATAAAAGTGGAAAGACTCGATTACAACTCAACGATAACTACTATTTATACACCTTTAAACTAACTAACTTCTCATTTACAGAGCATTTATTACTAATGCACCTTTAACTAACTAACTAATATCTACATTTACAGAGCATTTATTACTAATGCAGATATAAGTTGCTACACGCTTTTGTAAGTTATGTAAAACACAACTTTAGTTCTATTAGGTTGCTCGCTGGAATGAAGACTCCGCGGCCTGGACGAAGATCGCCAGTCAATATTGAAGTACTAGTTCACTTATGAATTCACCAGGGTATTTTGAACAGTGTGTGACGGCTAGCTAAGACTGACAGAAAGTAAAGATAGAAAATATATTCTTTGTAAATAGATAAGGTTGATCCTGCTAGACCCTAAAAAATTTTGGCCGCTCATTTGATAGTTATAAATTGTAATTATATTGTCACTTATTTAATTAATTAATTTAATCTTTTACAATATTTAATATAGTCAAGTTTAATAAATCCGTTAAGTATTCAGACTTTTTCGTCCCAAATTTACATATCTTTTCCCCACCAAAATTGTCATTTTTACTTAATATTAATTTGATTGAAAAATTATTTAATTCTTTAGAAAAATATTTGGTTCTTATCTTATTAATAAAAGTAAAGTTGCTCCTGATAAACTCTTGAGATTTAATGGCATCATTGATTTACAGTAAATTTACTGAGGCGTGTTATGGGTGATAAAGAAGAAGATTCGTCAAACTTCAACATTAACCGAGATAAGATAAATATACAAACCATATTACATCAAAAATATAAAGTTAAATTAATAAATATGGTAAAAAAGTTTATGGATGGGGGATTATCATCAATATATATAGCAAAATATCAAAATGAATTGAAACTTCAATTTTGTCGTGTAAATTGAACTTTACTTTGTATTAATTTTACTTCAATCACGTGCATCGCACGGTCCAAAAATCTATTATATAGATAATATACATGGACTCCTTTTCTTTTCAAATCGTCTCTCTTTCGCTTGAATATTTCCAATCGTTGGTTGCACTCGTCGGCACAAGATTCTGACTTCGAGTTAATCGACTGGTCTTAAGTAGACGTGTTTGGGAAGAAAATAACTCTCCGTTCAACCTTAGCTATAAATAGAGCAATATTTTTATTTTCCACCATAAAAAAATAATTAATCTCGTGCTCTCTCCAATTTTTATAGTTTTCTCTATTTGCAATCAATGGCTTAGGCGTCGGAGGGTAATCATCGGGACAACCCGACGAATCACCTAATGTTTCCATATTTCTTGTAGGACGCTCTACGAACTTTCCCCTTTGAATTACCAACACACGTTTGTTCGCAACTCATGGGCTTTCTGCTGACTTGCTTTCGGCTTTCTATCCATAGATCCAATATCTTTTGGGCCTCCTAAGTTAAGATTGTGATTGCCATCATTAAAACATTAGGGCATCGGAGCTTGATCCCAGCAAAAATCTTGACAAGTCAGTCTCTGAACTCCTCACATAGAATTGTTAAGAAATATGAAGAAAAAAAAAAAAAACATAATGATCAATTACCTCTAATTCTAGTAAGTACTATTTCTAGTTGTAATTAGATTAGCATAAGTTTGGATCCTTCATGAAGTTTTTTCATTAATTCAATTTGGCTCAATTGTGCTAGAACAAATTGAATTGTGCTCATAATCCTTTTTCATATTGGAATTAGGCCTATAATTATTAGGCTAGGGGCCATCCGCCATCACTTCCAATAAAATAATTATTAGTGCATTATTAATAAATTTGAATAATTATTCCATTTAGGTGGTGTTTGCAAATGATTATTTAAAAGTAGAAGTTAGTGATCCTGAGTTAAGCCAGTTTTAAGTGTTTATTTCTATAAGTTGGGGGTGTTTGCAATTATTTCGGAAAATGAACTTAAATAGAAAATGCAGGATTATGGGTGCTTTTAAAAAAATAGCTTAAAACATATTATTTTAAGAGAAGCAAAAACAACAGTTAATTTAGAAAACATCTGAAAATAGATTATTAATAAAAGACTTTTGCAAACACAGCCTAATAATGTCAAAGTGAAATTGAGTGTTTTGCGACTTAAAAATATTACCAACGTGGGCATGGAATGTATAAAAAGTAGAGTAATTAGAAAAGCGGAAGGCGTGAAATCACCAAACCAAACGCGTCCTTCTGTCTACCAGAATTTACTAATTCCAGGTCGCAATTAAGGTCAACCAAACCTTGTTTCGGTTTATTTGGCACCTCACCTATAAATAGCCAACACCCATTCCCAAACCTAACTGAATTTCATTCTATCTATCTATCCACACCCATTTTTTCACATTACACAAAACTATTTTTTGCACTCTCTAACGCCGTTAACTAACTGGCAAAATATCATCAAATATGGCGTGCTACGTAGAAGAGGAAGAGGTCTGGAAATGTCCAAAACACCCCTCCAAGAGGCGGCGCAACGGCATCTGCCCCACCTGCCTCCGCGACCGCCTCGTCACCCTCTGCCCCGACTGCCACAACCCCCGCCCCTGCGCCTGCGCCGCCGCCTCGACGACGTCTTCCTCCTCCTTCGGCGGCGAACCGTCCTTCCGCCGCTCGAGATCCGTCGCGATCCCGTTCCTCCGATCCAGGAACGGCGAGCCGCACAACAGCCGCGTCAGGACGCCGTCGTCGTTCATGTCGATTCTGAAGAGGAGCACCACGAAGAGAAGCGGCGGCGGCGGCGAACCGGCGCCGGAGAAGACCGAACCGGCCTCCGCTAACGACGAGAATTTCAACAGCAACAACAGAATCGAGGATTTCGCGAGGATGGTGACGAGATCGAGGTCCGTCAGCGCCGGCACGGCGATGACGTCAGGATTCCGGCTAGAGGAATCGAATTCGTCGCCGGCGAAAGGGAAATTCTGGAACTTTCCGAGCCCGATGAAGGCGTTCCGGAGTTCCAGAACCCCCAAAGTTGTCATACAAGATCGATCGCCTTTGCACAGAGGCTAGATTCATTTTTCAATCCCAATTATTAACAGTAATTTTTTTTTTTTCTTTTTTTTTTCTGTCGTTTTTGCTAGCGACATGTATTAATCACACGAACATAGCTGGATTAACCAAAATAAAATAATTTTCTTTTTTTAGATTAATGACTCGCCCATAGATAACGTCTTCGGCATGCGTGCCGTCTTCCAACTCTTTTCTTCTTT